TATTTTTGTTGGCAGTTTCCTTAGCAACTCTCCGGGCACCTTCCACAGAAGCCAGCTTGGCTTGCCATTGCCAGCTGACTGCTCTGACATGTAGAATTGCCAGGTTAACAAATCAAAAGATACTCAGTTACACATGACTTTTGGATAAATAATGGGTTTTTAAAACACGTGAGCATGCTCCATCCAGCATTTAGGACACACATATTAAACAGTAATTCAATTTATCTGGAATACAAATTCAATTGTGCATTGTGCATTTCATCTGACAACCCTGCTTTGTCTGGACAAAGTGTTTCAGAGAGAAGAGGAATGAGGACTTTGGGAATGTCCCATACAATGGCCTTAGCACAGGGAGCCTTGTAACCTGCTATGGATGGCAACTTTTGAGACAACTGCTTCAAGTGCAGAGATTGGGTAGTTTCCATCAGTTGTGGAGCCTAACCAACCTTTCTGAGGTTCCTTAGGATGTACCCAGTTATCACACTGAAAGACCTACATCTTGGGAAATACTTTTCTTGCTGGCACATTGGCGGCTGGTAACTGGTTTAAACTTAGAAGATCTGGAGACTTTGGAAAACAACAAATGAATTCTTAAACTGCTAAGTGAAACCCAAGACATTGAAGTATTTTTACCAAGCACATATCCTAATTACTGTTTTAAAGATAAGCAAGTTTGGGGGATATCTAGAAGTCCTAGATCTGAAAGGTGTTGGTGCCAGAGACCTCTAAAGTTCAGCCTCTGCTTGTTTATCAAGCATTTCCAGAGTGTCAGTCCCTCACCTGGTTATTATTACTATTGTTTTTCTACCTTAGCATAGGCAGTGTAGTAAGAATTTCATGCTCATTAACTTGTATAAGTCCTGATGGGTCCTGTGCCCTATAATAATAATAGAAGTGCAAGATGTGGGGGAAGGCTGCACGACTTTAATTCCAGCACTCAGGAGGCAGAGGCTGACAGATCTCTGTGAGTTCGAGTCCAGCCTGGTCCATAGGGTGAGTCCTAGAACAGCCAGGATACAGAGAAACCCTGTCTTGAAACAAATGAACAAAAATATATAACAATAGAAAGAAGATCAATTGTGAAATCTCAAGTTAGTAACCATATGAGGTCACCAGTATTATTATATCTTTTTAGGAACAAAAAAAGCAAAGACTAAGAAGCTTAGTCATTGCCTAGTGTCATAGAGCTGACTATCCAAATCTATGGATATTTTGAAGGAAGGTTGCTGGGGTCTTTGTTTTTAGTGATAGCTACTGAACCAAGGGCTTTGCTGTGGTTGACAAGCCGTGGATCACTGCTCCAACTTCAGCTCCAGAATCTAGGTTTTAAATCACTGTACTCTATGCTCATATAGATCCCTGATCAAGTGGAAGGCTACTTGATAAATCTAGCCAAAATCTTGAATGCTACCATTCAAAGGCCTTTCTTTTTGTTTAGTTATCATGGAGAGAGGATGACTACTAGGAAAACAAGAAAAGTCAGTTTCTCCAATTGCAGCTTTCTGGGAAAGATCCAGTCACACTGCCATCTCTCTGCTGTCATTTTTATGGAAATTTGAGGACAGTTGAACAGCTCTTAAACCTAACATAGGGTTGTTTAGGCTTAAGTCTGGTGGCTCTTTTTAAGGCCAAGATCTTATGGAGTTATTTTAAGTAGTGCACTGAATGAATGGACTTTGTAGGGCCAGGCCATGATGGTAGACACAGTAAAAGTACATCCTGGTGAGGGTTTTCTTCTTTCTGATAGCTCAGCTTCACACATGCAAGAGATGCTGCAGGGACCTACTGCCCTTGGTACTCCTGAAATCCGTCCAAAAACTGCTAGATTCAGTGTGTGGAAGAGATTGCAATGCTTTCTAAATTCTTAAGGATTGTGAAGGCTAACTGAGGGAGCATAGATGGCCCTCTCTGGAGGGTCCCCTGAGGGGCACACTTCTTTGACTTTGCAGTTTTTCACAATTGCACTTTTTAAAAGAAAGCATTTTCCCTTGATGGTCAGGGTTCACGCAACCTCAAAAGTTAGGCCAGGGTAAAGGATATATTAGCACCTCCTGATTCAGAGGTGGCCATCAATTTGGCAGTGCCATGAGGTAACTTCAGTTTCAGGGCCCAGGGCCCCTCATATGGCTCCTGGTTTCACAGAGAAAACCCAGCAAGAGTGAAGTTCTTTGAGTAGGAGTCGTTAGAAAATGAAAGAGCCCAACACAGCAGAAGCCCCCAACCCCGCATCCTACCTAGAGACAGAGGAGTTCTTTTTGTCTTTTGCCTGTGCCAGCTTATAGGATGTCACTTAGGCATATTGGCTGCTTAGACAGAGCTTAGCTGGGGCATGAGAGGGAGAAAGCAAGGGCTCTCTGTGGGGCCTACTTGCCCTAAGCTTCAGCAACTTGACATGTACTTACCCGAGGCATTTAGCTCTCAGCAGGGAGGATTGAGGCTTCCCCTGCTTCTTCATTCTATCTGTTGGCCTAGTTTCCCAGGAAAGGGATCTTAGCTTCAAGGTTAGACAATCTGTTCTGTAGCTCCTCAACTTTAAGTTGCAATGTCACACCGCTCAGACTGACCCTTCAACTGGCTCTGCAGCCATATACTTGCCTTTGTCTCTCTGAAAGGCCCAGAAAATTCGATTATTGCTGTTGTTGTACCTGGAGGGGTAGGTAAATTGATCTCTGTAAAGACTGCCCAGGGCTGTGGGATCAAGAAAAGGTCTAGGCAACTGCTAGCCTGATCCCTCAAGGGACAGATGCAGCCCACAGTGTTGGTGGACCCTGTAGAGAGGCAGAAAGGCATTGTGCCTCTGTCAGGCTACCTCCTGGGTGAAAGGCCTTTTGGATAGCATGAGTGCATGTTTTCTCCCACAAGAAGCAGAGCTAGGGCAGCCATTCCTTCCCCAACCAGCTGTGCCCTAAGAGAGTTTCCAGGGGGTTCTCAGCCACAATAGCATTCTCATCAGCTGTATATAAGGATATAGTTGTGGGCAGGGAGAATGTCACCACAGTGGGACAGTGGGGGCCAGCCTAACCACTGTACTGAGGACTGCCTGAAATCAGTGGAAGAGACTTTATTGGCCGGTGGGCTGCTGTATTGAAGAAGTTTTCAGATGAAAAGTTTAATAAGGTAGGCAAGAAATACATATAATTACCAACTACAGCTGTGCTAAAGAGTATAGAGTAAAAAAGCATCCCTTAATCTCCAAATTTCTACTCCTTTCTCCAGAAGCAGCCACTTTTTACCAGGCTAGGTGTACCCTTCCAGAAATAGACATCCCCTTTGGGAAGGTTTTTCTTTTTGTTTCTGGCTTAGTCTGAATTTTAACTGTGATGACTCTTCTTTTTTTTTCTGACTTCATATTTTAATCATACATAGAGTAGAGAAAATAATAGAACAAACCTCCATGTTCTCATGCAGTTGTAATAATTATCAAACTTTGGCTGTTGTTATTTCATTGAATCTTGTTATTACATTTTTCTGGAGTGAGCAAAGCTCAAGGATTTTGACATTTGACTATAAAGACTTCTAAAATAAAGATTCTTTAAAAAGCATTTCTGCAGCCAGGAATGCAACTTAGTAGTATAGGCATAGAATACTGAGGCTCTGAGTTGAATCTTTAATAATACACAGACAAAGTCAGTCCTGATATTATGGTCACACCTAAGAAGCACACCAGCAGTCTTTTCTGTCATATTGTCTCTTCTGAATCTCACTTATTTCAAATCCATCAAGATATATAAAACCCACTACATTCCAAACATTCACTTTATACTTTGCTTAAAGGAGTATGAAGGGTTAGAAAGTTGGGTCATAGCAGCCAGAGAAGCTCGCCCATCCTCCCCCTGGCTATTCTTGTTCAGGAAAGAGGCTCTGTATTCAAACATTCTTTCAGAGCAGAACAATTGTCCCAGCAAGTTCCAAGCAATGAATCTGGACAGAGGTATTTTCTAAAGGTACCTTTGTCTTTTGCCTATTAGGTGGCTTCTCTGTACCCCATTACTCAAATGATAAAAATAAATATGATCCATAGAGTTAGGTGACTATTGACAACCAGGGAAATAATTTTATTTCTGTTGTTAGACCTCATACATCTGCACTCTCTCTATGAGAGCTACCCTAGCAAAGCCAGCCAACTTTTCAGAATTCTGTGTTACGTGGACACCTGGTTTCTTCCTACTGTATATTTGGCACTTCTTAGGTATACTTGTTCTGAGTTTATTTATCAGAATATTTTATCTTCTAAGCTACTTTCTTACTCTATCCCAAGCCATTAGCATATCTCCCTTATAAGTACACAATTTACAAGTCACCCCTGTCCATCCTTGAATTGCTCCTTGAATTACCAGAAGAACAACACCCTTACTCCCCACAACACACACCGTGCATTACCAGAGAATGTGAGATCTCTGGCCCTCAGTCCTCAGTTCTCTTGGCCAGAAAGGCATGCTCAAGCCAATCGGCATAAAGTTGGGTGTGGAAAGTTCTATCTGCAAATACACAGCACTTGATACATCGTCTGCCACTCTGCCAGTATTCTGTGCCAGGACTGTGAAAATTTGTAAAACCCAGCCTGTGATGACATGGTCTTGGATAGAACAAGAAAAGCGTCAGCTCTAGATGCTAAAATACCGCGAGGTGAGCCCAGGAACTCCCTCATACTGTGCCTTCTCTGTTTCCTTTTCTCTCTTCTACGTGGGCATGGAGAGGTGAACCACCAGATTAGGCACTTATTTGCTTACCTAGTTTTCAGGAAGAAAGTCACTGGACTTGTAAATGTCCTAGCTCAGTGGAGCAAAGAAAACTTGCTTGCTTTCTGGCCTTCCAGAAGCTGGTATGATAGAGGAGAGCATGGAGGTACTATCCAGATGTTTTGTAGTTAATTGAAGACAGGTATATACCTAAACTAAGCTATGATCAAGGGGGCCCACATTTTCTGGTGGTACTACTAGAACTGCATGAAGCGCACCGTTTACTGGTGTACTACAATCCTGCTTTGTTCTTCCTCACAGGCTCCCAAAGCAGGCAGCAGACTGCAACCATGAAGGCTCTTGGTGCCCTCTGGAGGAATTTTTAGTCATTGCAGAAGCCCAGCCAGAATGGAGACTATTTTGTTCAGCTTTAACAGACCCAAGGAAAGCAGAATCATAGACTCAGGTAGAGTGGATTGGGTTTATGGGGTCAGGGAGCTTCTTGAAGACTGGACAGAAGTCCTCTAAGGACTGTAACAAGGGCTTAGAAGAAGGATGCGGCTGGAGTGTGCAGACAGACTGTCATGTCAGATGGACAGAGCAATTGTAACACACTAGATCTGAGGGAACTGGGAACCTTAGGGGACAGGGGAAGAAAGTATAACATGATCACCTGGCTGAGCACCTTTCCTAGCCATTGGCAGAAGAGCAAAGCAGAAACAGAAAGATCTGCCCCAACAGTGAGGACAGAGAAAGGGAAGGAGGTAGAGAGGGAGGGACAAGAGAAAGGAACAGAAATCAAATAAAGACTAAGACAGTGGAGATCATGGAAAGGGGCAGAGAAGCCTTAGGAGAATATGCTAGATAAGTTGGTGTCTGTGAGTTTACTGGGGAATTATTTTCTTCTGAGTAGTGTAAACAGTTCCAGAGATGCTACTGAGAATGTGTGAGATGCATCTGAGGACTCAACTGGGGCGATTTCCCCTATACATAGATCTGCTTTGGCTATTGGCTACTTGATTCCCCACATCAGAATTCCCAAAGTTTAGTGTCAGTTCTTTTTGCTGTCATCCCTCTCCTCCAGGGCCATCAACATAAAGAAGATCCTACAGCTGTACTTCCATGACAGACAGAGTCTGTGTCTAGAGGGCAGACCTAGGAAGATATGGGTGTTAAGATCCTCAACAGTCAGTCATGGTCTTAGTCTGGTATGCCCTGGGAAGCTACTACCATACTGTTCCTCAAGAGGCAGGTACAAGGATCCCTTACCTTTCAACATGTATAAGAGCTAAAGATTGGTTTTAGAACCAGCCTCATACATTCTGCAACTCCGGACTCCAGAATTGTAGGTCCTACTCAGTTTCCCTCTTCTGTTGTCTTTTATCTCAAGACAAAAACCACAGGACAAGTTCAGGAGAATAGACGTAATTTTTTAGGAGTAAAGAAATGATAGACTCCACTCTCCTTATAGACCAACAATTTTCCTTAAGAGTCATTCAGGAGTAGATTCTTGCTTCTAAATCAAGAGGGTTATGAGTGTGTGAGGCTTCTGAGGTGAGAGAGAAGATAGACAAACAACCCACACAGGTGTTCCTTAAGGTTCACCTGTTCTAGAAAGTACTAGAAAATATTCCCTAGCTAACATCACCTTTTGTATTTGGCACTAAGGTCCCTTCACATACTTCAGAAATTACTCTTACCAGTATAGATGTTTCATGAATGATTCCCGTATTTTTACTGCTTGACAATATTTTGTTCATAGAATTTTCTCTGAGACAAGGACTGTATTTTCTTTTTCCTCTCGACTCTGACTGCTCTCCTCCCAAACACCCCTTCCTTCTCTCTTAGCCTCATCCTCACTTTCTGATGAGAACACTATATTTCTTGGGAAGAGTTTTGACTAGCTCATTCCCAGTTTGTGATAATGTCTTGTCTCAGACTTCATTTTCCTTAGAAATCACCTACATGTTCCACTCTGGCCTTTTTTTTTCCCTTGTGATTTTGGCACAGGTCTTGCCCTCTCCTTTGTATTTCTGTTATCTGAACTATACTGTCATTATACTTCTGCCTTTCTTGAGCCTGGTCATGCACAGTCTGTTCATAGAATCAGCAGCTTGTTTTATCTTCATTCTTATAAAGAAGAATTTTGAAGAAATTATTTTAAATGACAGTTTTTTTCTTCCCTATTGTGTTTCCAATGCCAGGAAGAGAAAGAATGTTTTTGTTTAGTTTTGTTTTTTGTTCTGTTTTTGCTTACAGAGGGAAGGAAAGGTACCATGGTCAAGGGAAACTAGCAGTGGGAGTTGGGTGGGGTATATTTGGTAGTACAGCAATTAGGGATTTGATCCAGACCCCCTCATCATCAGGGCTACTATTTGACATAAGTTCACATGGTCAGACTGAGGTATGACACATTTACATGGACCCAAGGATCATTTGGGAGGATTCAAGGACCTCTCCATTTAATTTCTACCCTCAACTCACATTTCCTGATTTATTTGTAGTGAAATGAAATTCTAGAGAAGCTTTAGGGAGAAAAAAGAGCAAGCAAGAAAAAAAAACAATTGAAAATGAAAAGGCAGAAAGAGAAGATGGAGCCCTTAAAGAAGGGAGTATCCCAAAGGAGGTGGGAACAAGGGGAGGAGAAGGGGAGGAGGAGAGGAGGAGGAAAGCGAGCCTGTCTCTTTAAGGGGGTTGGCTGTCAATCAGAAAGCCCTTTTCATTGCAGGAGAAGAGGACAAAGATACTCAGAGAGAAAAAGTAAAGGACAGAAGAAGGAGACTGGAGAGACCAGGATCCTTCCAGCTGAACAAAGTCAGCCGCAAAACAGACTAGCCAGCAGGCTACAATTGGAGTCAGAGTGCCAAAGACATGGGTGAGTTTCAAAAACTTTAGCATCGAAGATGCAGGCACAGGAATTCAACTTTGAGGCTTTGGGTTTCCAGTAGCTTAAATAAGTTGTGTTTTGGCACTTATTTTCTGTTTTAATTTCTTAGCATTTCATTGTATTAACTCTTTCTCTGCTATACTGAACATACTGCTTCACTGCTAAAGAATTCTGGCAGTACATGTGGTGTCTCCCAGATTCTTGGAAAATGTACACAGGATGGATGTGACCATGTGGCTTCCTATTCCTTCACTTTCTTGTCCTCTCTCCTTTCCCTGATCTTCAGGCCTTGATTCTGGTCAGGTTATCTGGAACCCCTCATTCTGCTGGAGACAACTTGAATATTGACTAACCCACAAATGCATTAGGTACTTGCTTCCCTGATACAAGCTTCAGAGCATGTTTTTGCATCAGTAGGATGTGGAGGAATGGGGAAAATTGGACTTAGACTTGGCAGTACCTATAGTGGACATTCCAGGTTCAGAAAATGAAAATACAGTTCACAGTGATTTTACCATGGAGAATAGATACAGATTGTATGTGCTTGTGTATGCCTCTGTGTGTGTGTGTGTGTGTGTGTGTGTGTGTGTGTGTGTGTACATGAGTGTGTGAGCACACACAGGACAACATTTCTAGTAAGTATCATAGACTTAGCCTGAATCCCTGCTATAGATAGGCTTCTATCTAAGGGCTTTTGTTAAGTTGTCTGAGACCCTAGGGGATTTTTGTGTTCCACAAGGATGGAAGCTGTGACATTCTGGTGTCCAGCAGTGTCTATTCAGAGTAAGGTGTGTGAGGCATAGGGTCTTTGCCTAGGTAAGATACTACAGAGATATGTACATAGTGCTCACATTTGGGAAAGATAAAAGAAGCAGCTTGAACACATTGTGAAGGAAAGGAGATTCAATTTTCCTGTGTATTTACCATGCAACTTTGTAAACAGTAAAAAGATTCACAGAAGTAGTTATTCAGTTAGACTGAACTGTTGTTAACCTTGGCTTTTTTTTTTTCATCTCAAGTCACCAAGGGAACTGTTAGAAGCATATATGTGGGCAGGATAGTTAAGACAGTGGCATCCTAGACTATGGGTCCAAACAACCAGGTTTGAATTTCAGCTCAGTCTCAAATGAACTCTGCAAAATTAGGCATGTCACCACGAATCACCACTTCATCTTCTGGTAGACAGAGGCAACAATAACTGTTTTGTCTACTTTCAGGGTGGAAGATCAAATAACAAGGATATGGCAGGCCTGTCAGTGTAGACAAGTCCTATAACCACTGTAAATTCTGATGTCACTGCCTACTCTGCAATAGGGCATATTTAGGCTAATCCTTCCTCTTTGCAAGGTTATTGGGTTTTCTTTGTGTGTACCTTGTGTGTAAGAAACCTAAGTGTGTCAAGGTGGAAAAAAGTCACTTCCTGCTCTGGACCCAGGAACCCTATCTAATATTTGCATGGCTGATTAAGAAGGTTGTTCCTTCAAAACAGGAGTGTAAGTTGAATCTTACTTCCTCAGGGGCTAAGGCCTTGAAGAAATAAAGACAGGAAGAGAGAAAATGATCACAGGAACATTTTCTTGTAACAGAGGCTGGGTGATGTCCTCCAGAGGAAGGTCAGCACACATCAAGGTGTAATTGAGGATGTGTATTTGGGTAAGCAATACATGGACTAGGGATACATGATAGAATGGTAGATAACCATTATCTTTGCAATCACTCAGTAACACAGTATCTGAGAGTGTGAATTATCAGCCATTTCTGACCAGGCAGTGGAATGCTATTGCTTCTGATATGGAGTGTGTTGCTGTCTAACCACTGCAATAGACAAGTCAAATCATAGAATCTGGAATTGAAAGGAACACTGGAACATATCTGAGGTGGAGCTATGTATAGTGTCACATACCTTTAACACCCTAGGAAACTGAGATAGGAGAATCATTAGGAAAGGCTAGCTAGACAATATAGGGAGACTGATTCCAAAAGAAGTTGTCTGAGCCATCCTTCAATGCAGAATTCATTTCTCTGAATAAGGCAACTATACACATGTCTCTGCTTAATCACCTGGAGAAACAGGCAGCTTATTACCTCACCACAAAATTTCTTAGGATTGAAACTGAACAAGAGAATTGAATCCAGAGATACCTGAGCAAAAGGGGTATGGGCAGTGTAACAGCTTGGCAAGGCGATGCTTCACATGAGTCTTTGGAATAACAATGGAACTGAGAAATCCAAAGAGCCATAGTGAATATTTTTCTGCTCAATAACAATGCTATCACTGAACAGCAAGACACCTGCTTCCTCAAGCTTGTTGTCATCTGAGAACAGTGGCGGTTACCCTGGCAACCAGACTGCATCTTAGATGCTTCCCTCTAAGAGTGCTTTAGAAGTACGATGTGTGGAGGCAGAGCAGAGGCTGAGTTCTGCTAGGTATGTGAGGACTCTCTGAATCCCATCAAAGACACCATAAGAATGCTAGGATTTAAAAAGAAAGCAGGTTTAGACCAGTACACTGACACTTCCTAGAGACACTAACTGAAATGATCAAGGGCAGCCTTCACCACACCACTTCTTACCTTTCTCTGCCTAGCCAGGAGCTCTTGAAAGACTAGAGAGATTAAGCAATTTTCCCTGCTTTAAGGGGCTTCGCCTTGGCCCTGGACCAGGACCCCAAAAACCCTAGTCAACAATAAGGTTCCCTTGGAGCTGTCTGAGTAGTGATATCTTTAACCCACAAAGGAGGATAGGAACAGTAATATCTTCAGATCCCAGCCCAGCCAGTGACATATCTTTCCATGTTCGTTTATTTGTTTGTTTGATGTGTGTGTGTGTGTGTGTGTGTGTGTGTGTGAGAGAGAGAGAGAGAGAGAGAGAGAGAGAGAGAGAGAGAGAGAGAGGTTGTATACCCTTGAAAATCATCCCATCATCCCTCTAATACAGTTCTTTTGTCTTGAAAGAAAAAGAAACAAATATCATCTCTGTCCATAGAACTTCAGGTCTAGAAAAGATCAAGCCAAAGCAGTGACCTAATAAGGAAAGATCATAAGCCAGAATCAGTGAACAGAGTTTTCCCATCTTTTCCCACTCACTGGCCCTCCCCATTGTCAGAGTTACATCAAAGGTTCAGCAAGTCCTTCCTTAGCCTCTGCCAAATGATTAAGAGTGATCGTTCACTGACCTCAGAGCTCTGCCGTGCAAGGCTTTGAAAAAGAGTCAATGGCATCCCAAGAAAGAGAGTGGGATTCTACAAGTCACCTTCACACTTTAGTCAAGGAAAGAGGGGATCTGGTATCATAAGGTACAGCTACACTTGTCTCTAGTGACAGATTGTTCTTTATTTCCTCACAACTGGACAAGGTCAAGACAATGTTCCAGGAACAGGTTTTAGCAATCAAGCTTATATTTTGGCCTCCAAATGTTTGTACATGAATTGGTATTTCTCTCTGCCCCCTCTCTCTGTGTTTCTGTGTATGTGTTTCTGTCTGTCTGAAAAAGAACATAGGAAATAAGGTGGTCCAGATGCTGTCCCTGAAGGTGGTAGTAGTAGTAGTAGTTACCACTAGTACAGCAGCAGTGACAATAATACCTGTCTAATAAGGCAGTTGGAGTTCTTTTTTATTTAACTTTGTCCATATGACTTGACTATCAGCAGGCTTGACTCCCCAGACCTCAGTGCCTATAGAGCCCCTTTGAGCTCTTTAGTGTGGTATAAGTATTAATATCATACAGGAAACACAAAGTCATGGGCAGGGCTTTATCCTAACAAAATGAGGCCAGAAGTAATGTCTTTGTCTCTGCCACCTCCTGATAATTGTTTTACTTGTAGAACTCCCACCCATTCATCGACATCTAGCCCTAGTACTAGTCACAGCTGCTCTAGTATCTTGTCTATGTTAATAGCTCTAGGCCCTAATCAAGGAAGCCTCTGTTCATAGGTTGAGGCTAAGGGGTGGATTCTGGGAGGAGGGGAAACTGCAGTGCAGATTAGAGACTTAGGGAGATGGGACCAGTTTCTCACTCAAAGAACTTGCCTGTTGTTTAGTTCTATTGTATAGGGTTTTTCTATCTCTCCCTTTGTCAACTGGATTCAAGAGACAAGCTGGGAATTGTGTGGGGTACAATTGGTCTCTTTCTACCATTTCTTTCTATGAAAGCCCTTCCTCTCTTCCCTTTGATGAGTTCCCAGATTCACACTGAATTTCCATCATGGAACTGGTCCTTGAGGTGTGCCCAGGGCATGGGAACGGAGGGAGGGCTATGGAGCACTTGGCTCCTGCTTAAAGAGACAGCATCAGGATCAGGACAGTCAGTGGGATGGGCCTTAATCTGAGACTCACAATAGTACTGTTGATCTCCGACAGAGAACATTGATGAGAAGAGAAGTTCTATTACAGATTGGTTATGCTTGTTTTTTTTGGGGGGGGTTGTAGATAAATAGAACCAATTCTGAACTGATATCTTTGATTATATTTTGACCACAAGATTTGGCAACATCCATTTTAACACTAGCTCTGGTTTTCAATTTAAGAAATACATTTTTTCTCTCAAACAAGATGGGAAGTTTTCTGAGGAAAGAAGTTGGGCTCCTAATTTTGTTTCTTGAGACATCTTTGTTATGAGTAATGTGTTTAATCTTTGTCCTCAATCCACTCAAACACAAAGGAAAAGAAAGCATTAGAAAGGGTCATTAGTTTTCTCTGTGATCACATATTAAAATGAGACATTTAAATCTCATTGAGTTGCACTTAGCATTATGTAATTCTTTTATACTGACACCATCACATCACAGTTTATACTTAGCTGGGAAATGACAGAATGCCTTTTAACATTCAAAACCCTGTTGAGCCTGAGGTATTCTGAAACAGAGAGCTTATAGTTTTAGGCTTTTGTTCCCAAGTTCATTTCTTGGACTCTGAAAAATCGAAGTGAACCCAATGGACTTTTATTCAGAATGCTTTGACTGTCAACTACTTTGATGAAAAGACAATCTCTGGTATGTTCTGAGTTCTCTCGTTAGAATTCAAATTTTGACTTTTGCTTGGGCAGACTAGCTGAGATTTTTACACTTCTATTGAACTTAAATTCCCTTAAAACAAACATTTTATCTGAATTTTGAGGAATTTAGAATCTGATGCTCGTTTTGATATTGTTGAACTATCTTATAGCCTAACAGTCATAGATTTATCTAAGGGCATTTGCTTTAGATTCCACGTTAGAGACTCACCAAAGTCTATGCCCTAGTTTCTTGCTTTGAACATCAGTAGAGCAGAAAGGGGATATTAAGTTCTTATCTGAGCTCTAATAAAATAGATAAAAATGTGTGTTAAAAGAAGTTTCAGGTGGTGATATAGAGTTGCCCCCAGAGTTCTGTCACCCAGTACAAACATGAAAACTTACTTTCTCTGGTTATTTTGATGACCACCAACGATCATATTATCCAAGATGACAAATCATTCCTTGTGTATTTCATCACTTGATGATAAGATAGAAAAAACATCCTTAGTGTAGAGGATATAGAGGGGCATCAGCAAAAGCGCTGAGTAGAATTCTCTGTTTGCCTGGTCACATACCTGCCTCACCATTAGACCATCTCACGGTGAAAATGCTGGAGTGAGTGAATGGGCATAGGATGACCACTTGCTAGGGTAGATGGATCTCCTTATCCTGTGCTAAATAAACAGTTCTGCCATTGTTTACTGGATCCGACCCCCTCCCCACCCCCTTGCCTGCAGGGCCTTGCAGAATACCAATGAGGCTCCTGAGATCTCAGGAGAAAACAAGACTTCTTTGTCTGAAGAAGTTATGGAGGGCTGTGTCCAAGGCTTGACCCTTAGCTGGGGAGAGAGAGGGAACAGCAGGGTCACTGACCTCCCCTCCCCCACCCCAGACTTCAGAGACCTTCTTTACTAGAAGAGTCTAAGAGTTGGAGGGTGGAGAGGAGTTAAAAGGGCAGAGAATGAAGATGGGAGTGCTGTTTACTTGCAAGCGCCTTTTCTTGACTTACAGGATACATTTAGTATCTTACCCTAATGATAAAAAAAAAAAAGAGTGATTTCTGGAGTGTCTCCACAAAGACAGTGATCAGTTTCAGCTGTTTTCATTTTTCTCTGCTGTCCACATGTGTGTATAAGTGCATGAGTGTGCACACACAGGCATGTGTGTACACACACACACACATACACACCATAGACCAGTAGTAAGCATCCTTTCTCACAAATTTCATGTTGAGTGAACTCGGCCTCTTCTCATAGCAACATAGCTACAAACTGATTGTATGCTTCTTGTGGAGGGTGAGTCTTCTGACAGAAGTGCTTCAGTTTGGGGAAAGTAAAAGGAACCCAGTTCTGCTACAAATGTTTGCTGCATACTTTGGCTTGGGCTTTTGAGCTCATCTCTAATGCCACTGCATATACAATTATCTTCAAAGAAGATACTCTTTGAAGGCCAAGGAAAGGCTGTCCTTTCAATGAATGGTCAGTAATAGTACTCACTTATTCTATGGTTCTGATTAAAAAAAGAAAGACATGCTTCTATCCCAACTTTATCATGATACACATAGTTTGATCTTTTAACATCTGTTGACATTTCTCACTGTAGCGTTTGGGGTTTTAATAAAACCTGAGCTCATAGTAAGGGATAAAGCAGTGGATTTCTAGTTCCCCTAGTGCCCTATTGTAGATAATTGAACTTGGCTTGGAGAAATACATGAATATAAAAGTCCAAACTTTGGGGAATTGTTTTTATTAAGGAGATAAGGAATTACAACATACTTATCACAAAGTAGTACTTTCTCAGGCACATTTTCTCATTATTTGAAGGTACATGATCTGTAGATATAGATGTATAAAAAACAATTGGCCAATATATATATGTATATATATAATACACTCTAAACATGTATATATGTATATATATTATATATTACATATGTATATGCATATATTTAAATATATTGATATACCTATATATGCATGTATATCCTGTGCTAGTTTCTGTCTTCTCTGGGTTGCTCCCTTATATCTAGACTAGGAAGGATTTTGCATTCCTTACAACAAATATACATGATGTGGAATACTCTTTCAGTTCAAATTGTGTCTGAAAATACTAACACCTATGGTTAGCACTCATTTCATCTAAAATTCCAAATATATTTACCCTCTGTAGCTAATTACTTTATTTCCTGCAATTGTTGGTGGAAAATATTACATCTACTTCATTTATTCTTCCTTAGTAAACTAAAGACTCCAATCTGGTAAGGTTTGTACCTTTTCTGTTTCTGTATCCCATGTACAACTCCATTGTTGAGGAATAATAAAATCTAGTCAACAAACTAAAACAGTAAGAAAAGAGGGTCTCATCACCTCCTTGTATTACTACTTGAATTATTTGAGTCCTTTATAAAACCTATACATTCTGAGTATTGAAGGTGAGGGTTCATTTTAAGAATGGGACAAAGTAAGGATTCTGGGTCAATCTCATATTCCAAAAGCCAAAACCTATAGATTCTACTTTAGAACTCCCAAAGTAACCATGCTCTGTTCTTGGGCTAGCATGGGCTGCTTGGCCCAGCAGTATAGTGTGAGTGGATGAGTTACCTCTTATGCATATCTGAATTTTCTCCTTCTTCCCTAGGCTTGTTAGAGTGCTGTGCTAGATGTCTGGTAGGGGCCCCCTTTGCTTCCCTGGTGGCCACTGGATTGTGTTTCTTTGGAGTGGCACTGTTCTGTGGATGCGGACATGAAGCTCTCACTGGTACAGAAAAGCTAATTGAGACCTATTTCTCCAAAAACTACCAGGACTATGAGTATCTCATTAATGTGTAAGTATCTCATCACCCCACCTCCAGACTCATCTCATTTTCCCTCAACCTCACCCTGTCTTGGAGGTACGGAGCTCATCAGCGTGGAGCTAGATAGCATTCCTGACATATCCCTCTGTGTACAGGTTCTACCATGCCATGTTGGAAGCTCTAAGTAAGGGGACAATGTCAGATTTAGAAAGGAAGTCTGCCTCCACTCGCTCCTCCCTGTTTTCTCACACATGGCCTGATTTCTGCTAGGTATGCTTAGTGTTGCCTGAACTATCTCCACAATGGCAGGAAGAGGTCTAATGACTGGGCAGAGTGGAATCCCTGGTTTTGGTCTGACACTCTGCTTATATGTACTCAGGCTTAGTAATAAGTCTGTCCTGCTTGTAGAGCAAGTCAGGCTACTTTTCCTTCATGTGTCTCTCAGTTTGTCTATGGAGTAACACTTCTGAAGGGTCAAACAAGCTTGGCTCGCTAGGATGCAGTTAACAAGGAATATGGAGAGAAGCTATGCTCTTGGCCACCTACTATCTGATTTCATTTACTTCAGTGAAGAAAAAGTGAAATACCTAGTCATTCCTCTCAAGAACCCCTAGCTACCCAGGTTGCTAACTGACAAGGAGAGTGGTGTCCTCTGAATAAGGTTATCTGGATTTTCTGTCTGTCAATGCAGGATTCATGCTTTCCAGTATGTCATCTATGGAACTGCCTCTTTCTTCTTCCTTTATGGGGCCCTCCTGCTGGCTGAGGGCTTCTACACCACTGGCGCTGTCAGGCAGATCTTTGGCGACTACAAGACCACCATCTGCGGCAAGGGCCTGAGCGCAACGGTAACAGGGGGCCAGAAGGGGAGGGGTTCCAGAGGCCAACATCAAGCTCATTCTTTGGAGCGGGTGTGTCATTGTTTGGGAAAATGGCTAGGACATCCCGACAAGGTGATCATCCTCAGGATTTTGTGGCAATAACAAGGGGTGGGGGACAATTGGGCGTGAGTCTGTAGCCTCATCCCCACCCAAGGTTGGGTCCTCTCCAGAGGCCTAGCTTTTGAGTGAGGAAGCGATGGCTACAGCCGAACGATACGGTCAGGAAGAACGTGGTGCCTGGCCGGCTTAGCCTCACCTTTCAAAGGTTCCCTGGAAATTTTCATCTTAAACTGAAAAGCATCAATTTTGTAGGATGCTTTGTACAATAAGACCATTTCTAACCAATCTGTTGGTATCCCTTAAATTTGTTCCTAGCAAGAATGACAAGAGTGGACCAGACTATACAAGAATTTAAAATGCTAGTCATGGGATTGAGACTTGAATACATAACCTCAAATGGAGGGCGGCTCATAGAAATTAAAGAATTGACTCCAAGTCCCAGTATTCTGGGATTCTGTACTATCAGGGACTCCCAGAGAGACTTAGGCTAGATCTGCATATTTCATGCTTGTCTTTGGGCTAGCTATGTTTTAGAAAGACATACATTGTTTTTCAGTCTCTAGACTTAAAGATCTTTTGGGGTCTGAACATGTGTGTGTTGTGGAGATGACTTTTGTGACCAGCAGTTAGCTTAGAATGGTTTTAGATCTGAAATTTAAATCTCCTATTGGCGCTGTTCAGTGACTGGGGAACAAAAATCTTGTGGCAAAAAACATCTTGTAAGCTCAGCCTAAGGCACAACTTTCTTTCAGGACTTTTTTTCATTTTTACTTTTTTACACCTTCTCTGCCTTCCAAATCCCCTGAAGCCCCCTCTAACCCAGGGATCCGCCTCACTCCAACTCCCACCCACTCCCCCTACCCTCCATCACACTTGGGGCAAGTTATCTAAGAGATACTGCCAATGACACTTCACAAAAGTGCCCTGCTCACTAATTTCATTTAAGGGAGATACCTGGATCTTGACTTCATTGGCACATGCCACTCCAGGATCTTCCAGTTTTTGTTTCAAGGTCTGCAAGTTGATGCTGATTTTTAACCACTCCGTGTCAATTGTTTTAGTTTGTGGGCATCACCTATGCCCTGACTGTTGTATGGCTCCTGGTGTTTGCCTGCTCTGCTGTGCCTGTGTACATTTACTTCAATACCTGGACCACCTGCCAGTCTATTGCCTTCCCTAGCAAGACCTCTGCCAGTATAGGCAGTCTCTGCGCTGATGCCAGAATGTATGGTGAGTTGGATGTGGGATCTTTAGATTCCCTAGCATCTATAGAAGCAACATGTACTAGTTTTTGTCTTGGATGAGGAAGATTATGATTATGAAATTATTGTAAGATGATGAATAAACACATCTTAGTTTAGTTCAACTTTCCACTGAAACTAAAAATGCTCTCTCCCAAAGGAAACATGGAAATTTGGGGAGGTTTTGATTTTTTCTCCTCCTCTTCCTCCTCCTGCTTGTCTTCTTCCTCTTCCTCCTCTTCTTCCTCCTCCTCTTCTTTCTTTTACTTCTTCTTGGCTGCTCTCACCCTTTCTCTGATTGACGTATATTAACAATCCAAAGCAGCACATCTCAATAATATAAAACTTCACAATTAGTCAATACCACCTTTGCTTTTATGTAAATTTTTAGAAAGTAGGATCACGACTATTGTCAATATCAGGTTTACAGCCAGGATAGAAAAGGTAGAAGGCTATGGAGAAAGTCTCCACATGTCTTCTAGCTTTGTGAAGTTTACTCTGGCTGCTGTTTTGCATCTTAGGTGTTCTCCCATGGAATGCTTTCCCTGGCAAGGTTTGTGGCTCCAACCTTCTGTCCATCTGCAAAACAGCCGAGGTAAGTGAATGAGAAAGGTAATTTCTTAAAAATAGATTGGCTAAGAATGCAGGAATTTTTACCTATAATAGAAGTTTTTCCTCATGAACTTCAGTTTCAAGGATTATAGTATTATCTTGTTGGACTGTGAATTAGCAGATTTCCCTTCTACAAAGTAATGTTGAAATGTACTTGAATCAATGAACATACTGATTAAAAGTAAAAGTACGTTTATACCCCAGAGCTGCACTAAAAGTCTTACTTTCCTAAACTCCCCTCATTAAAAGAAATGTGTAGCTTTAAGTAAAGATAATACTTACTACTAGAATTTCCCAAATGAAAATTTTCATCTTGGTTAAAAACTTACCAAGAAAATGGGCCACACACAGAGACACACATGGGTTCTATAAAATGCTTTTAATTTGGAACTCCTTAATCTCCAATGAGAAGTGAAATAAAGAAAATGCTTCATTGAAAACAGATACATACCATTGCAGCAAGGGCATAAAAAGCAAATCCTGGGGAGGAAGCCCAAAATCAACGTCTTTGAAGAGAAATTATTGACTTTAAACTTTGGGATCCAGGTTACAACTGTAGAAAATGAGTTCAATAATGGGATCAATAATCTCTTTTCTACATCTTCTAGATGCTGTGCGTGTGAGGTGCTACGATAGACAGTAGCAAATGGGGAGGGATTGACACTTAGGGAAGTGAACATTTAGTTAGAGACACAAAACCAACATACAGGAATGGTATCTGCCCATCCAGACAACTGTGTTCACTATTTACAGTGGATCATGCCTTGCTTTTCTGTTCTAAGAAATAATTCTCTCTCATACATCTTCCTGCAGTTCCAAATGACCTTCCACCTGTTTATTGCTGCATTTGTGGGTGCTGCAGCCACACTAGTTTCCCTGGTAAGTTATTTTAAGATAATATTAGAAAAGAAGTGGTCCAGGGATAGCATTAGGCTGAAAGACGAGAAGAGAGACTCCTTCCAACCTTGAAAGGCTGTAGACAAGCTGTAAGAAGGCACAGCAAGGTGTGGGGCTACACTTTTCTGCCATGAGTTGTCAAGTACTGACAAGAGCATGGAACTATAAACAGGATCTGCTGTATTCTAGGATTCTAGATAGTATAAATATTCTTCATACTCTCTAGTGGGTTTAATTACTCCCAGGGAAACTGGAGGGACACCTCACATTAGAATTATTATGACTGATGCAGTCCTGTGCCCTAGGTTCTTCGGGTAGTGTTAATGTAGTGCCAATGAAGTATGCTCCTTGTGCAGATGTAAAGCCTCAGGTGCCAGTGGGCAAGGTGATGTACCTCAAGTCTCTGAGGTAGTAGTTAACTACAAGAAGGTGCTCCCAGACTCCTCCTCAGTACTGCAGAGGTGTTCACAAAAAGCCAGCACACTTCTACTTTGTGAAATCAGTTGATGAGAGTGGAGGGCTATGGTGCATGAAGTAGCTGTGTGTGTACAGCACAAGCATAGCCAATTTCCTTAAGGAAAGGTCAGTGCTTCCCAGAACCTAGCTGTGGAATACATGTTTATTATGTTATTTCGGAATGGGCTATTGTGGAAATGTCTAACAGAAGATTTCTACTCACAAATAAGAAAAAACAGGGTGATGCTTTTAACTTATTTGCAGATAGACTATTTTCTTTATTTAGTTGTGATTTTACTTCAACTCTCCCTCATTCCCAAAAGGTTTTGAGTAAGAGAAAGCTTCTCTTCCTACTGTCACTTACCTTCTTTCTTCTCTTCCCTACAGCTCACCTTCATGATTGCTGCCACTTACAACTTCGCTGTCCTTAAACTCATGGGCCGAGGCACCAAGTTCTGATCTCCAGTAGAAATTCCCCTTTGTCTAATAGCGAGGCTCTAACCACACAGCCTACAGTGTTGTGTCTCCTGTCTTAACTCTGCCTTTGCCACTGATTGGCCCTCTTCTTACTTGATGAGTATAACAAGAAAGGAGAGTCTTGCCGTGATTAATCTCTCTCTGTGGACTCTCCCTCTTAGTACCTCTTTTAGTCATTTTGCTCCACAGCTGACTCCTGCTAGAAATGGGGAGTGCCTGAGAAGGTGATTCCCCAGCTGCAAGTCGCAGAGGAATGAAAGCTCGAATTGAGTTTGCAAGCATCTCCTGAAGACCAGGATGTGCTTCCTTCTCAAAGGACACTTCCATTGAGGAAAACAGAGTGGAAAGAAAGATTCTCAGGTAGAGAGTAGGAATGTCCTTGGTCTCCTTGCCATCAGTAGGAGTCAAGTATATTCTCTTTGATGCACAAAACCAAGAACTCACTCTTACCTATTTCCACTGAAGACAGAAGAAAATAAAAAGAATGCTAGCAAAGCAATAGCATTTGCCCAAATCTGCCTCCTGCAGCTGGGAGAATGGGGTCAAAGCAAGGATCTTTCGCCCTTAGAAAGAGAGCTCTGACGCCAGTGGCAATGGACTATTCAAGCCCTAACTCAGCCAACCTTCTTACAGTGTTAGAGAGCACAGTGTCTGTATAGACAAAGTGGGGCGGGGGAGGGGGCGAGGAATCATCTGTCCTTACAGCTCATTAGGAAGAAAAACAGTGTTGTCAGGATCGGCTCACTCCCTTCTCCTTGATAACAGCTACCATGACAACCTTGTCGTTTCCAAGGAGCTGAGAATAGAAGGGAACTAGCTTATATGAAATAAGACTGTGACCTAGGAGCATCAGTTGGTGGATGCTAAAGGTGTAACTTAAGATGGCCCTTGGGTAGATGCCAAGATACTTAACCCTTTGGATAGCATATCTTCTCCCCCCCATACCCCATCAGTTAGTTGTGTCTTCTGGCCTCTGGCATAATATCTTCACAATGGTGCTCTTTTCCTGGAGTTTTATCCATTCACTCATAGCAGGTGATTAGATGATCTGGATTAGTTTCCGAATGATTCGTGTTTCATATTTCCCAATTGTTTATCTCTTGTTTAGAGTTGTATCAGAAAGATCTGGAGGATGATTCTTTGAGCATAGTTCTTTTTGAAAGAAAAAAAGAAACACTGGACAGTAAGCATCACAAAAATATTTGAAATTGTATGGTCCCGTGAAATTATTGGGATTTTCCCCAAGTATTCTACCATTTGTAGAACTAGGCTTGGTAAAGTTGTACCTCAATTTTAATAACTTGTCCAATATTTTCTTTTCTAGTAAATGACAGATGATTTCACTTGCTAATATTATCTCAGCATTTTGAGAATTTAGGCTTAGCGTAGAGGTTATTGTCTCTTGGTATATATAGGTCACATAATAGATTATATACCAGCTGTCAGCTGTTCAGTTGGTAAGCTTCCATACAGCTCTGGAGACATGGAGAGGATAGACAGAATTTGAAACCTGAAGAACTCCCAGATTTCAGGCTTACCCTGTATTTGTTAACTTTGGGTCAAAAAGGGGGAGAGAGAGAGCGAGACAGACAGACAGACAGACAGACAGACAGAAAGATGTTTTATTGTAGATTTGTGCTGTCATTCTCCAAAGTGCTTTCTGCCATGTTGAAAGAGATATAAGAATTTACAAGAAGACATTTGAGACTTGTTCCTGGGCCAGTATATAAGGTAAACTAGCAAGATGCACAAGAGTGAGGAGAGCTAAAAGGACCTGTAAGAAACCAATCAAGGAAGGTGAAATAATCTGTATCTTTTATTTTATTTTGATTTAATATTATAACAGATAACCAACCATTCCCTGAAAACCTCACATGCACACACACACACACACACACACACACACATGCACATACAAAGAGAGTTAATCAACTGCAAGTGTTTCCTTCATTTCTGATATAGATTTTGATTTTAACAACATAAAGGATAAACGTTTAGAAACTCATCTTACAAAATGTATTTTATAAAATTAAAGAAAATAAAATTAAGAATGTTCTCAATCAAACACCGTGTCCTTTGAGTGAATTGTTCCATTTGACCTCACTAACAGGAACTTAATTGTAGTTAGTTGAAAATGCTCATGTATTTTTCAGGCCATGTAAGTTATTCTTACACTACTACTATGAAAAATATAATAGATACATGCATCATTATTATTTCTTTTTTTATACTAAAGATACGAAGAAGTAGATGCAAAATGCAAAACAATTTACTCAAACTCAGTAAACATTTGTCTTAACTTGAATATGGTTTTTTTTTGGGGGGGGGTTGTTTTTTTTTTTTTTTTGAGCCAGGGTTTTATTATGTATCCTTGGAGAGCAGGCTGACCTTGAACTCATAGAGATCCACCTGTCCCTGCCTCCTGAGAGTTGGAATCAAAGCCATGTGCTGCCATGCTGGTCTGAACTCAGATCTCTATACCATTTCATTTCGTATTTAATGGTTTAATTTCCCTTGGATTTCACAGCGTTTTGCTTATTCTGAGTCAATATGGTTTTACTTGCCCAGTGCCATTGTGTTACCCCAACTCCTGTTGTATTTAGTATTAAATTATTTTTACCTTTTCTCAAAATTGTTTAGCTATTCCAATAAAGATACCCTGGTGCTTCCCACATAAAACATAGCTTCACTTGAGAAGTACTAAATAAAGGGTTAAAGTTGAATGTTTATATGGCAGAGAAGATATAACAAGGATAATATGAATTAAGCATGCTGTGCCAATTCAGGATTAAAACAAATTAATGACAAGTACTACCGTGCAGTGCTTGGTACATGAGGCCACCTAATGTAACATGAACCACGATGATGATCAGCCTGAAGAAAGCTAACTTCAAATTAGCTGTAGGTTTGTCTTGTAGTTGTGACTGACAAGAAACATGAGAAAGGACACTAGCTGGAGGCAACATGTTAGTCATCAGTTAAGGGGCTCTAGTCAAAAGTAGTTGAGTTGTAGTCTCCTGATTTCTGCTTTATCACAATTAATATTCTGCAAGTCACTCTGGTTGAATGACTTTAAGACAAAGGGAATAAAGATATGATTTATTTTTAGACACTGGAAAACAAGGGCAGAGCACCACATTTTGAAGAATTGACTCAGGATGCTCCAGAGTGAATGTATTTTTGCCTCAGAGAAGCAAAAGCCAGCTCCCAAGAAAGCTGTGTTTTCCATCTGTCCTTATTTAGTTCTGCCCTCTGGGGTGGATCTATAGATGGAGTTTCCAGGCTCTCAGAAGCTGAGAGCATCTCTGGTTTATCAATTGAGCCTATTGTTCTTAGCTCTCTCCCACATCATAAACCTTCTTTCTCTGAACAGAAAGAGCTCTCTTTGTGCTCAGATCAGCTAAAAATTAAAATGCAGCAGTATAAACAAGAAACGTTTTCTTACAACATCAGTTGTATGGCTTTTCTTCAGGGTCAGTATTGAGAGCAGTTTTACTGTATGTGTGTGGAAGCTGCCATTTTTTTCCCAAAGGGACATGCATTCATTCTGTGTACATTCATTGAGAAAATTTAAGCTTTGTACTAAGGCCTGGGAGGTTCATGTTTGGGGGCTTTATGGGTAAAACAATCATATAGACATGGTCTTCCACTCAAGGATCTCTCACACCTTCAGCCATAGCAGAAAGGTCTCCCAGAGTGGACTAGAGTAGAAAGGGGAGCATGAAAAGACAATCTAGTTGATTGGCTGCAATGAGCATCTGATCCCTCCCCTTGGTATGTGGGAGAGGCAGTGGTTATGGGTCAGGACTTCATGTGGCTTTATTTCCTGGGACCTTGATAAAAAAATAAAACTTTAATTTAGAGTTTGTGACAACTTGTGACTTGCTTTATGTCACCCTGCTTCTTGCCTTACATGTGACAATGTTTATGCATACACTGGCACAATTCATGTTCTTGCTTCCACCCACTTAGTCATTTGAGGAGTCAGAGGGCACATGGTTGAGTATTTATGTAAACACTGCTATTCAGCCTGCCTCTCTCTCTCAGTCAAGGCTAAATATGAGAAACAAAGGAAACAAAGGGTGACATAAAATAAGAGAAATGTAAGTGTGTGTATAGAGAAAAGAGGCTTGTTGTAGTATGGTACTTAGCATTGAAAAATGTTTCTTAGCCTTAAACTGTTTTGTGTGCCAACACAAAAACCTGGATAGACTTCCAGTGGAGCTGGTTTCATTAATACTGTGTGTATTATGGGAAGCACTGGCTTACAAATGTCAAAAAGGAAAACTACAAAGTTGGATTCTAAGGGTCGAAGTACTGAAAACAAGCTAATTAAAACTTGAAAGTTCGTAGCTGAGTTGAGTCCTAATACATGAGGAACCCATATACAGAACTACTTTAGAGAATTAAGGATAATGTGACATGTCCACAAGTATCATCTTATATCAAGAATACACAGAAGTTGCCCCCTAACCTCCATAGGCATGCTGTGTCACATGTACATACCTGCACTCCCTATACATTATTCACAGAAACACAATAGTAATGGAAAAAAATAAAAAGAAAAAACTTTAAAGGTGTCCAGTACAGTAACTTGGAAAGTGAAACCTTTACATGTGTGAACCTAATGACCTGAGTTTGATCCCACATAAAGGTGAAAGAGGACAGACAGCTGACTCCACTAAGTTGTCCTCGGACCTACATATGTGCATACATGTGTCACATAAGTTGTTCATACACACACACACACACACACACACTAATAGCAGAGTTAAAAACTTGAAAAACAATGCTACCAACTACAAGTGGCCCAGCTAATTACTGCTAAAAAGAGAGCTTACATACTATTTTAAAAATAAGTTTGTCGTTTTAGTATTCTCAATTTCTTGTGCAAAAGCATAATTCTGTAGAGCAAGTACATCATGATATTTTTCTTCAGTGAAAACACAAGTAAATGATATCTCTCAAAGGAAGGTAGTTGATAGGTGTTTACTGAATTTGTGTGTACATATGTGTTTGTTTGTAATAAGTGAAGTGGTTTTAGCCAGATTAGATATTTTTCTCAGCCTAAAAAATTTAGTCATATTCTGGCATTAGTAATATGTTGGTGGTTCTTTGTCTCAGTGTTAAAGAAAACTCAAAAATAAATCGTCTTGACATAATCATTGACCACTCCATAGGCAACCATTTCCAGCTAAGATACTCTATAAGATACCAAGCACATTTTATCACACCTCAGTCCTATAAGGCAGAAGCCACAGTCAGTCATCCCTCAGTGCCATGATGGACCTTGTGCCCCTTTTAGTTATTTCTATTCCCACCCAGGGATGTTGATTTTATCCCAGCTCCACCTACTAATAAAATTTGTAATAGTGGAGATAGCACGGCAACCAGAGCACGAAGCTTAGTGTTCAGATTAACACAGGCATGGAGCAAAGAGAGTAGACTGGAGAAGTAGTGCAGGCTATATAATCTCAAAGCTCACAATCAATGACTTCCTCAAGCAAGGCTGCACCACCTATACCTCCCCAAACAGCACCACCACCTGGGAACAAACTGTTCAAATGCCTGAGCATACGGGGACATTCTTGATCCATATCACTGCAGTAAGAAGTGAAAAGCAGCGATTGTAGCTCAGTTTCTTCCAAAACTACTGACAGAAGCAAAGAACTGTTGTCAATTCATTTTTGTCAGCAATCTCGAAATATATCTTAATTATACAACCCTATTAATAAACCTGACGTTGCTGCTTTAAAATGTGGTGTGAGGATAGGCAGAAGCCAAATTCTGGCACTATATATCCCAGGATAACTTGTATATACACTAATTTTTTTCTGTTTGTACTTTTAAAATATAAAATATTTTATGCATTAAAATATATACCTCACTACCCTTTACAATATAAACAGCATATTCATATATTGCTAGACTAACCCATTTAATATAAGATTTTAAAGTGTGAGAAAGATGTAAAATAATCTATGTATATTTGATGGTTGTAGAATATATCTCTTATTTTAAACATGCTATTATTATTTTAATGAGGACAGTGTGGATGACTACTTCATTAACTATGAAGCTATGCTTTAATATTCTAGAGATCTGAGTTCATTATAAACACTTGTCTTGAATGGATATCATAGCTGAAAATTAAACCTCAAAAAGACTCGTGTATCTAAATAGATGCATGTGCTCAGAAAATCATGTCACTAAATTTTCAGTCTTACTGTTAAGTTATTTTAAAGGATTTATTAAATTTCATTCTCCCTAACATCTATTCAATGACTCTTATAAAACAAAATAAGTTCACTTATAGGCTCCCTTTTTTCTAAAAAGTTATTTTTAAAATTAATATACAAGGTATTAGATAGCATTATGACATTTTCAAAGTCTGTTTTAGAAAACTGATACAGTTCATGAATTTGCATGCCATCCTTGGGCAGGACCATGCTAATCTCTGTATCATTCCAATATAAGTATATGTGCTTTCAAAATGAACACCAAAGTATGAGTTTAAACTATTGTTTATAGTTTCAAGCAAGTTTAAATCCCCCCCCTTTCTTTAAAGTTAGGGCAAATAGGAGGTGGGGAGATGGCTCAGACAGCAGTTAAGAAAACTCATTGTTCTTACAAAGAATTTGGGTTTAGTTTCTAATGCCCACATGGTCGCTTACTACTGCCCTTAACTCCAGTTCCGAGGGATATGGTGACCTCTTCTGGCCTCCTTGGCCACCAGGCACATAGACAGTGCACAGGTGCACATGCAGACAAAGCATTCATACATATAAACATAAAAATATTTTTTCAAAAATTCAGACTCAGTTTTTAGCAACATATTTATAAGATTGTGAAAACATTTTTAAGTGTGAGTGTGTGTATGTGTGTGTGTATTTTTTTTAATTTTTATTTTGTGTGTATGAGTATTTTGCCTGGATATATGTGTGTGTTGAGTATGCCTGATGCCCACTGGGTGAATCCAATTCCCTGGAACTGGAGTTACAGACAGCCACCATGTGGATACTGAAAATTGAACCCAGTTCCTTTGGAAAAACAGCCAGAGCTCTTAATTACATTTCTCCAGCCCAAATCTCTGTTTTTAAATGCTTTCTCAATAAAATTCTTGCAAACTGAATCCAAGAACACATCACAACAATCATCCATCACGATCAAGTAGGCTTTATCCCAGGAATGCAGTGATGGTTCAATATATGGAAATCCATCAGTGTAATCCACTATATAAGAACAAACTCAAAGAAAAACTCCACATGATCATCTTGCTGAATGCTGAGAAAGCATTTGACAAAATTCAACATCCCTTCATGCTCCAACATATAACGAGGACACATGTTCCACTATGTTCATAGCAGCCTTATTTATAATCGCCAGAAGCTGGAAAGAACCCAAATGTCCTTCAGCAGAGGAATGGATACAGAAAATGTAGTACATTTACACAATGGAGTATTACTCAGCTATTAAAAATAATGAATTCATGAAATTCTTAGGCAAATGGATGGAACTAGAAAATATCATCCTGAGTGAGGTAACCCAATCCCAAAAGAACACACATGGTGTGCATGCATTGATAAGTGGCAATTAGCCCAAAAGCTCACAACACCCAAGACATAACTCATGAAGACCCACATGAAGCCCAAGAAAAAGAAAGACCAAAGTGTGGGCACTTCTGTACTTCTTAGGAGTAACAAAGTACAGGAGCAAATATGAGACAATGTGTGGAGCAGAAACTGGAGGAGGAATTGTTCAGAGAGTGCCCCACATGGGTATTCATCCCAGGTGCAATCAACATATGCAAACACTGTTGTGCATGCTGATAGGAGCCTGATATTCCTATCTCCTGAGAGGCACTGCCAGAGCCTGACATATACAGAGGCAGCTAACCATTGAACTGAACACAGCATCCCCAATGGAGGAGTTAGAGAGAAGACTGAAGGAGTTGAAGGGGCTTGCTGTCCCATGGGGAGAGTGACAATACCAACCAACCAGAGCTCCCAGGGTCTAAACCACCAGCCTGGGACCACACATGGAGGGACCCATGGCTCCAGCTGTATATGTAGTGGAGGATGGCCTTGTTGGGCATCAGTGGGAGAGGAGATCCTTGGTCCCTTGAAGGCTGGATGGCCCAGTGAGGGGGAATTTGAGGGTGAGGAGGTGAGAGTGGGTGGATGGATGGGGGCACATCCTCATAGAAATAGGAGGAGGGATGATGGGATAAGGAGTTTCTGAGGGGGGGAATGGGGAAAGGGGATAGCATCTGAAATGTAGATAAGTAAAGTATCCAAAAATTTAAAAAAAAAAGAAGAAAAACAAAACAAAAAAACAAGATAATGGAACTGGATATCGCATCGAGCATTTGAGATGTTTTGGCAGCAATTTAATATTACCCATATTACTGGGATTCCTTATAATTGTTAAGGAGAAGGGACTGTGGGAGGGGTCCATGGAACTTTAAAACAATATCTTCATAAAATAAAAAGGGGGGAGGTATATCCCCTTACACCACAAATTTATTTAAATCATGTTCTTTTTATTTTAATTTTTTAAAAAAATTTTGGGTACCCAGGAACTTTCTGTTGAGTGTCTATGCACCTACAACTAGGCATACTTATGCCTGCCTAGGTGAAAGGGAAGGATCCACATGATCCTGATCAGGAATTTAATATGGGGAAGAAGGCATGTTTGTCATTTTTTCTTCAGGATGCTGAAGGAGCATGGTGGCTACCAGAACAACAGGTGAGACATGCTGATGCCTGGACAAAGAATGATGCTGACCTGTGAGCCTGTGAGTTTGCTGAGTGCCCTGACAATGGTCACTGGGAAGCTGTATTGGACATATGTTCCCGACCCACCTTTGCTTACCTATACCCCTGATAGGACAAGCTGCCTTGCCTCAAGTTCTTAGACCTTGTGGAACACAGAATCAGAAAGAGAAGTTATAATGACTCTTGTATTTTTCTTCAATGTGACCAGCTATTTGGACTCAATCATGGACTAGTCTAGAAATCAATCCAATATTGGAAGTAACAGTCTTCATTTGGAAGTCTGATTCTGGACATTTTCAGAGACATATTTGGAAGTTGGCTGCAGTTCTCTATGATGTTATGTTAGCAAGAGATAAAGTTGGGGCAGGATCTGGATTTCAAACAAGTATTAGTACATGTGTTAAGACTCTTTTAATTGTCAAGCTTGCAAGTACTGGAAGAAGTGAGTTAGACTTTAAGCAGAAACAAGAGGGTAGTAGGCTTGATCATTTCTGGTAATACAGCTTTAATTACATTAATCACTAGCACCACTGCTTCTGCAATTGCTTTGACACAAGAAGTTAAGACAGCTACTTTTGTTTATCATTTAGCAAAACATGTTACTAATGTGTTAAATATACAAGAGGATTTAGATAGGCATTTAGAACAACAAATTGATGCTCTTTATCCTATTCAAATTATTGGAAGGAGGTTCAGAGTTTAAGAGTAAGGAGCCATCTCCAGTGTCATGCCAAATAACATTGGATTCATGTTAGTTCTAAAATTTACAGTGGTAGTCATTATGATTAGGAAAAAGTTTAAAGACACTTGCAATATATTTGGCATAATTCTAACACCTCTCTGGATGTTTTTACTTTGCATAGTGAGCTTATGAATTTAAAGAATGCTACTCTGCTGAGAGTTGATGTGGTAGATACTGCTGATAAAATTACCCATGGTCTGAGGTCAGTATTTCCATTTTGGTCAAGCTTCAAGAATGGCAGATATAGCTAAATCATGCTAGCCCTTTTTGTCCTGGGAATACTTTTATTCCTACCGATCGTGTTAAAGCTTGTCTTTAACAACACCAACATGTTGACAGCCAAAGTACATGGATTGATCCTGAAAATGGACCCTCAGACAGAATTATTAAATTAACAGGCTGGCAAGCCAAGGACGAGTAAGATTCTCCACAGAGCCTTACCAACCCAAGCCAGAAGTGCATTGCTTTTGATAATGTATATTCCATGATGGGTAAGGAAGACATTCTTGTCAGAATGACCTAAGACAGGCTCAGTCTTGTTTATGAAATAAAAAAGGGAGAGATGCAGAGAGCTTTTGGGGCTGCTTGGCAAGAATCTGACATGGGCCAAGGACAAGGAAATGGGCTGCTTGGCAGGAATCTGACGTTGGCCAAGGACAAGGAAGTGGGATTCAGGCAGGAATCTGACATTAGGCTAGAACAAAGAAGTAATTTCAGGCAGGAATCTAAATCTTAGGCTAGAACAAAGAAGTAGGCTTCAGACATGAAAATGACTTTGAGCTAGGACAGGGAAGTAGGCTCAGATATTTTGGTCATCCTGATAAGCCCTTAGAAACAGTGATCAGAGTGTGTTCAAGGAAATTTTTTTATTGCCTTTCTTGTTCTTTGATTGTGTTTATTGTATTGCTTGTTCCTTGACTATTTCCATCCATTGTATTGCTAGTTCCTCAACCTAGAACTGACCTTAATACTTGCATGTAATTAAAGTGTTATAAAAGTAGATTGGGAAATAAAAGAATTTCACAGTGAGCTATTAGAAAGCAGAATTGCATTTTATTGGGAATAGAGTTTAACAGGATTTAAACCTGGCAGTTAATAGAAAGAGAAGTGCTCAGAGAAAAACTAAAATACACTCACCTGTGGGTGAGGTTTACGTTTTAGAAGTAGTCAGCTATATATATGATTTTGATGACTTTGAAGATATATCTAAGGTAGATGCTAATAAACATGTTCTTTTTCTTTCTGCCCTCATTTATGGTAAATGAGATTATCAGGTAGCTCAAGAGATGTCTTGGATAGAACTGTAATCTAATAAGACAAAAGCATGGGTCATAAGGGCCAGACAAGGGGGTGAATACATTCATGGCTTCTGCTGTGAATAGGTTTTCTTGTGTGATTCCTAGAAAAGGTTAAGTTTGGGCTGGAAATATAGCTCAGTTGGTACAACGAGTACATAAGCATGCATAAAGTCCTGGTTTCAATCCACAGCACAACATAAACTGGGCATGGTGGTACATGCATGTAATTTCAGCATTCCTGAAATGAAGTCAGGAAGATCAGAAGTTCAAGGTCATCCTCAGTAGGTAGTGAGTTCCAGGACAGTCTGGGCTGCATTGTGAGACCAAAAGGAAATGAAAAAGATAAAAGGAAGGAAGGAAGGAAGGAAGGGAGAAACAAACAAACAACAAAGAGTAACATTTTATAGCTCAGAAAGGTAGAAAGGAGAAAGATCTTTATATAACCATATTTGCTTAGGCCTTAATCATCATTCCTTACTATTTTAACACTCTTTTTGAACTATGTCTTTGTAAAAAGAGTATTGTCTCTAAGTTGTTAGTTGTGCTGGAATTATTGACTCCCTTTTTATATTATATATTTATTTTGTTTTTAGAATTTTTATTTAAAAACATTTTCATGCATTCAGATGTCAAGTGGCTTCAAGTATATTGCAATGTGAGTGGGTCCTTTCCATCTCCATGTTG